AATATGGTCTAAGGATTGGAGTACAAGAAGGACTTCTATTGTCCTCTGAGACAGTAGAAGCAGCAGTGGTTGCTCTTGTAGGAGGACAGTTCGAGTTTCCTCCTAATACTGTCCTAGTGAGTGCTGTATATGCAGTATCACTCTCAAAGCCTCTCCTCAAACGACTCAAGTTAGAGATACAGCACTGCGTTGATTTAACAGGACGATCAGATCTTGCACAATACTTAAAGTTTGCTATAGCTCCCGTGAGCACACCCAGTCTTCCTTACCAGTTCTCAATAGTCAAAGGAGGAGAGTTTAGCTCAAATAGTGGGTATGGATCCATTCAACGTAATAAGTTCTGTTTGGCTTGTATACTGGGGGAAGAATGGACTAATGGAGACACAGGAGAAGGAGAGGAGGAGGAACAGCAACCACAACAAGTGGAGAATGAGAAGGAGGAGGAGGGAGACAAAGAGAGGGGAGAGGATGATGATGATAGTGAAAGTGATGATACCAGCAGTACTCCACCAGGGGCTAGTGGAGCATGTAAAGGTTAGTTAGTGAGTCTATTGATGATAATGTAATGTATTCCACTACTGAATAGAGTCTACTACTAAAGAGACTAACCTCCCAACCAATATACAGTGTCTGTTGCTGGTCCTTCTACTACACCAAACACTGATCATGTTAACAGTAAGTACATGTATACAGTCTCCTGTTACTAATATTGCATTTATTTATAGAAGTAAAGCCCACTGGTGTTATGGAGGCTATGACGTATGCTGGTGTGATTTATTATCAAGAGAAAGGTGTAGAGGATCTAGTGACGTTTGCTGCAGCCAGAAACTTGAATGCTCTCATTGAGATAAGTCTGCCCCTTATATATCAATCATTGATCAATCTTTTATTAATCTACAGTTTATTATAAGTGATTTTCCCAGAGCTGAGAAAGGACAGCATGTTTATTTTCGTTTTAAAGATATTAATGGATGTATTGAGTTAAAGTTTGATGCTCCACAAGATGAGCCATTCACTGGATGGGATATTAAACCTCACATGAAGCCATGTAGAGTAAGTATCAGTATAATTATGTATTATGTTCATCTGATATAATACTGTACATTCTATCTCATAATAGTTACATCGTTGTGATGTGAATAGATTTGGTGAAGCTAATTATCCTCTTCCTCCATCTTGCTTGATATCCGTTCTCGGTTCACCTGATGCTGTCCCTACACTACATTACTCCATACCACTGGAAGGTGTGGCTGATCCTGTTTCATTATATATCCACAGATCACTACGAAGAAATCCTCCTCCTCCTCCTTTAACAGGTAATAAATAGAAATGGTTTAAATTGTTTATTTATTTGTTACTAATCAGATCCTACTACCTCCTCCTCTCTAATACAATTACTGAAGCTGAAGCTACTGCATCATCCACTGGAGGAGCTAGTAAGTAGCAGTCTGTGTGTGTGTGTGTGTGTGTGTGTGAGTGTATTGGGTCATATTGACCTTTGACCTCCATTAGGTGCACCAGCAACTGTTGATGTTGAGAGAGTTAAGAGAATCATTAATGATGTTCTTGTATCTCGTGATGCTGCACTCAATTCTCTTATATCATCTCTCTCAGATCTTGCCAGTCAGTTATTTTCAGTTGTCTCATTACTGAACAAGTTAAA